ACACACACACACACACAGAGAGAGAGAGAGAGAGAGAGAGACAGACATACCTACATACATACATAGCATTGCATTGAGCACCCTGTATTAGCGACCATCAGAACGGAACGATGCTGCGCCACCGCTGTAATGTTGTGAAGTGGATGATCAATCCTCACCTGCACCGCCCGGTGTGTAGCTCTACGCTGCTTGTCGGTCAAGCCGTGCGGCGGGCATCGACGTGCCACGCAACACAAAGCGAAGGACACAGCAGCAGCGGCAGCAACAACAGCAACAAAAACAATGTTCAGAAGCGAGAGCCGCACCTTCGCCGCCTCGCAGTGGTGCGGCCGGACTTAGTGGATGAGTGGGTGCCCGAGCTCAATGACGCCGACGTAAGCTCGGTGCCCTCCACCAGCCCACTCGACGTGTGGTGGCGTTGCCCTGCGTGTGGGGAGAACTACCAGGCAGCAGTGAAGGATCGCGCAGTAGCGGATAAGGGGTGCCCGCGTTGTTCGTCCATGCAGCAGCGAGAAGTGTTACATTTGCCCCAGAGTGTAGGAGGCGCCGGCTCGACTGATGCGCAAAGTGCAGTAGCAACAGCATCACCATCACTCGCAGAGACACACCCCGAGCTTGCGAGCCGCTGGGATTCTGACCGGAACGGCCTCCTAAGGCCCAGTGATGTTACGTGTACGAGCGAGGTAAGTGTCTGGTGGCGTCCGGCGGAGGGGCGACCGCTGCACGAGCAGTCCTTTCGTCGGCCTGTGTACGCCTTTGTAGAGATACCGTACAGCGTGCAGGAGCAGAGGGAGGCTCAGGCGGCGCTCGAAACTGACATTCTTCAGCAGGTGCGAAAGGCCGCGAAGATTGAGGAGGCACGCGCACACAATGCGTTCCCTGCCGCCGCGTATATGCTGGATGACAGCATCCTGAAGAGCCCTCACAGCGGCGCCTCAGGGTCACCGCTCGCCACACAGAATCAGCAGCAGCACTTTGACCTTGTGGGGGAAGACCTGCACAAGGCAATTGAAATGTGGGAACGTAATTTTGATGCAAAGACTGATGAAGACTTTAGACCTGTCTTCCACGCTGACGAAGCACGTGGTGGTGGGGAAGCGTGGCGCGATCAAGTTCTCACCACCTATCATCGCTTTGTCGAGTGGCACAAGAGCCAAATAAAGTTAAAGGAGAGCAGCGGTAGTGACAACAGCAACAAGGGCACGGATGCGAGTGTCGTTCCTTCCGCCATCACAGATCCTGATTGGGTACAACACTTCACACTTGCTTCGGAAGATGTCGCGAAGGGTTTGTTTGCACCCTCCGCAAAGCTCGTTCTTCCCGATGTCACGGCTCCACCTGTGCAGCAGCAGCAGCAGCAGCAGACGGTACAAAATGCTCTGCCGGCTCATCGCCGCATCGACTCGCTGCCGCCGCCACCTGAGGAGTATGAAAATGAGATCCGCACAACATTTGCGCAGCCCAAGCGGCCGTACCCGCGACAGCCACCGCGGCCGCCGATGCACGAGGAAGACGTCACGGAGTCGGTGCCCAAGACAATAGAGACGGACCAACAACAACAACAGCAGCAGCAGCAGCAACCGGATGGAGCGTCAGCTTCACAGCGTGACGCAGTGAAGGGGCGAAAGAGTCACGTGCACCACGACGCCCCGGTCGAGGCGGCCTTCGAGGTGGTGAGTCTCGCCACCGCGCAGAGCCTCGCACAGGACTACGCTGCCTCCGACGACAAAAGCATGCCCTTCGACGCGGATGAGAAGGACCTCCATCTGCGCTCTCTCCTTGGCTCTGTGGCGATGCAGTCGATGACGGAGGAGCAGGCAAGAGCACTGCAGTACAACAGAGGCACGCCACGGCCGCGCCGCACAGGACGATTCCGCCTGCGCATGCCTGTCAGCACAGAGAGTCGAGGGAAGGACGGCATCGCCTCCACGCTGGGGGTTGCGTCGCCGTCGTCGTCCTCCTCTGCCACGGAGGAAGGCACGCGGAAGGAGCAGCAGCGGGTAATTCAGGCACCCGGCACACCGCGAAAGGTGGCGCGCCCAAAGAAGAAGCTTAACGAGGCTGCCAACGAAGAGAGCACCAGCAGCAGTGCCTTCTCGTCGGGGCAAGTGGAAACAGCGTCAGCATAACCGCAGGCGAAGCCGTGAGCTGTGTTTTTGTTTTCACGGTCTTTTGCCCTCCCATCCTGCGCACATGGAATGAGAGACGCACACGCTCACAGATACATTGGAGGGAAAGTGGGATAACTTCACATGCACACAGACACGCGAAATTTAACTCTTGGTGTACATGCGTAGCTGTGGAAAAGAGTGAGTTTGTATATATATATATATATATATATATATATTAATGCATGGATGTATGTATGTGCCTGTGCCTATGTGGTTGTATTATTATTTGGTGTCTCTCTTCCCTTTTTTTTTTCGTCTTCTTCTGATTTGTACCCCTCATGGACTCTAATAGTATAAGCGCGTGAGAGGTGTTTTTCGCTGGTAGCTTTAAAGGCGGTGAAGGTGGCAGCGAAGGCGAGACACCAGTCCTCCTCTTTTTCTTCCTTATACGCATTTCTCTTCACTGACGCAGCAGTATAAACCGGCTCTCACCCGTAAGTGAGGAGTGTGGAGGAGAATAAGAGTACCACAATCGGACAGTGAAGAGGAAAGTGAGACTATATATATATTTATATATACAGATATACCCTGGTCTATAGCCGCAGTAGCAATAGTTAAGAGTCCGGAGAACTCCAGTGGTTGGCGGCTGGCGTTGAAAACGGAGTGTTGAGTGAAGTGGGAGAGTAGATGGAGAGACGCATGGGATCTCGGGCCTCCACCTGCCAGAGTCATATCAACCCAGTGGGTGGTGGCGCCATTAACGGAAATGGTGGCAACAGTCAAGAGCGCCTTAACAGTACCACATTACAGCAGCACATGCAGATTGAATGGACGAGTTTCGATCGTCACTTCAACGACATTGTGCGGGAGTACGTAAAACGAATATTATCAACAGATGAGGTATTGGTCTCCTCACCAATGGGACAGGATGAGGCTGGAATGCCGAGTGCTGCACACAACGCAAACAACAGGAGCAGTGGTAGTAACAACAGCAATAAAGATTGGAAGGCCAAGTCGGAGGCAGACAGATCATCGGCGCGAATTCGACGAGCCGTGCTGCAGATGGAGCGTTGTGGTGTGTGCCGCCTTGTAGATCTGATGGCGCATGCTGCCAGATGCGAAACACGTTTTGGCTCTCCACAGCGTAGCACAGCCTCGGGACACCAAACTCGCAATTCTTTTGATGTACTCTCTCCGATCAGTATATGTGGCTCACACTCGGCGGAGGTGTCGTTAAGCAGCACAGCAGGCGGAAACGGCTTGCCACACCCCACCGCACCCATGGGGACGCGTCCACCAGCCCACACCTGGCAGGTGGAGAACACATGGGCGTGGAGAGATACTCATTGGGCGCCGATGCAGCATCAACAGAAAGAGCAACTACATCATCAGCGGAAGTTGCTTCTAAACCCAGTTTCAGAAACAGAGTCCTCGGATCCGCACGTACATATTGAACCTCCCGCAGCTTCTACCGTCACTGCTATCAATGCAACTACCAATGGTAGTGCTGCTGCTCCTGTGGATCCTGATGGCGACGCGGGCTCCGATGCTGGCGCCTCTTACAACAAAGGGGTGCTTGCGCAGGGTCTAGCGACAGATGTGGAAACACCCGTGGAGAGTATCTGCAAGTGGGCGGCGCACATGAATTTGGAGGATGAGGATCTTGTGCAGCTCATGATGCTGCTCTTTGACGTCGTCCATGCTGTGCTCGATAAACCAGCAGGTGGTGTAAGCGACGAAATCAGCGCTACAGCGGATCCATGCACATCGAATGTCATACTCCTGCTTTTGAAGAGCACGGTTGTGCCTCTCCTGCAAAATACACGGCGGGCGCTGAGGGAGATGGTTAGTTGCAGAAGCAGTAGCCGTAACCGCAAAAATAACAATAGTGACACTGGTTATGCGGTGCCGACGTTGCCAAAAGGCAAGCAGCTACCTGACGCGAGGTTGTGTGAGAGCAGCAATATCTCCTGCATGAACAGCGATGCATCACGACAAATTGCGGCGGTACCGCCGTCGGAAAGTTTGCATCGCTTCTTCTGTGAAACGTGTCCGCAGGACTGTCGTTCACACAACTTTCAGCTGCTGGTGCAGCAAAGCTGCTTGGTTCTGCATTTTGCAGTGCTCAGCAGCAGCAGCAGCAGTAGCAACACCGTCTCATCGTCTCAGATGGTGCTCGATGCATTAAATGAGAGCGCTTCTGTCCTATACCCGCTCCGCACACGCGCACTCTCGCTGAGGCAGCAGTACATATATGTGCACCACTCACCCGACGCCGTGGTGCCCATCAGCGTCTTGTCGCTCGCATCGGACAGCGTCGTGCTCGATGGCATCCTCTGCGAAGCGGTGGTGTCACTGGCCATCCCCTACAATGCAGAGTCGTACAAAGTGATGCGCAGCGGCAGCATCTGTGGTAACGATGATCAGGTCGTTGTGATAGACAACAGAAGCGACTCCAAGAAAAAGAGTGGTGCTGCCGACGATGACGGCGGCGGTGGCGGCGGCGAGGCAGTCGAGGCTGGCACCGCGACAGTGACGGTGGTGGTGTATCCGCTGTGCGTCACCGCTGCAGGCGTCGAGCACCACTTTTTCTTCCAGACAGCGTCTCTCCGCGCGGCGTGGCTGCACCGCCTCGATGTGGTTGTCACGACTTGCAGCCGAAAGAACGCTGCAGCCGTCGCGGTGGCCCCAATCAACATCAACGCTTTTCTACGCAATCGCTTCGCGTTCAATCAGGGGCCGGGCGCGTACACCTTTATCCGTCCTCTTGGCGCTGGTACGTTTGGTCGCGTGCTGCTGGTCCGCCATCGCCTCACTGGCCGCTTGTTCGCAATGAAGATAATACGCAAATCATGCTTTCATGCCCTGCGCAACATCGTTGAGGTGCGGCGGGAGCGCGCAATCCTCGAAAGCCTGGACAACCCCTATATCATCCGCATTCATGCCACCTTCCAGACTCTCTCGCGTGTGTACTTCCTGTTGGATTACCTTCCTGGCGGGGAGTTGCTGCGGCACGTGCAGATCGCGCCGAACCATCACTTTGATGAGCAAGTTGCACGCTTCTTCACTGCCGAGCTTGCCATCGCGCTTGATCACCTCCGTCAACGTGGCATTCTCCATCGCGACGTAAAAGGAGACAACTTACTGCTAGACGAAGACGGCCACATTGTGCTCACCGACTTTGGTTTTGCAAAGCGCATTGTGAATGATAGTGGGCAGACCATACGGCAGCGTGTGTGCTGTGGGACACTGGCGTACATTGCACCGGAGATGCTGCACCACAACCACACTTGCAACTATGGGTTCGAGGTGGACTGGTGGAGCCTCGGCGTGGTGCTCTTCACCATCCTTACTGGCTACTTCCCATTTCTCACGACCACACGTCGCGGAACGGCGCTGGCGATTCAGTCGCAGCCGCTGCAATTCCCCAACGATAAGGCTGTCTCGGCGGAGGCGAAGGACCTGCTGCTTCGCCTCATCAACAAGGACCCACAGCGGCGACTCACCTCGCTGGCCGCACTGAAGGAGCATCCGTTCTTCTGCAATTTCGACTGGGAGGCGTGTGCGCAGCGGCGAATGCGGCCGCCGGTGCTTTTGCACGGCGGCGCGTACGAGAAGAAAGACACACCGCTAGCGACGCCCTTGCAACAGCAGCCACTGGCGCCTGCAAAAACAGGCCCCGGGAACATTGCCCAGCAGAAAACTGGTTTCCTAGAGGAACTGGAGCAGCTGCGACTCCTGCAGGATATCTACAGCGAGGGGTGTGTGCCACCTACCACGTCGAGGGAGGATGATGTGTTCAGCAGCTTCTACGCACGGCAGGAGGAAAACGGCAGCGATCGCGATGAGGACGCTGACGTTGACTACAGCACCATAATGGGGGAGTCGGATGTGGAGACAAGCAATCAGCGGCGCACATCCCTCAACGTGTCGCGTGGGTTTTTGCCGTCGCCTGCTGCAGCGGGTAATTCTACGGTCGAGGACTTGGATGACTTGGTGGGGGAATTCAACGAGTCTGCGTACCTCTCCACTGGTAGTATGAATGCAGTAATGAGCACCAATGCGGTACGTGCTTCGACGTCACTCTTCTTCCGGCCCTGCCCTCCGCCCAAGTGCTGATGGTACAAGGTGGAGCAAGCAACCTTTATGGGTTTTGTTTTTGTTTTTGTTGCTGTCTGTTTGTGTTTGTGTGTGTGTATCTGTCTTGGAGATGGATTCTGCTCGTGTTATGTGTGTTTGGTGACGATGGTATGGCTTTTTTTACTGGTGTTGGTGCCGGTGCCTTTAGTTTTTTGCGCACATGTGGCGTGGCGTAACTGCGTGCTATCTGTGGCACTGTGATGATGCACGCGGGGGGGAGGGCATGAAGTGCATGGATGGAAAATACATAAAACAGATAGGAGACGATTTTTTGTTGTTGTTGTTATTGTCGTAAAAAAGGAAAAAAAAAAAAAAGGAAATCAGGGTAAGGGGTAAGGAAAAGAGACCGTGTGAAAGCGATACATATACGTATATGTATATATGTACTTGTGTATTATCTTCTTTAGATGTTTACTTTCATAGTCTTCCTGAATGAAAGGCCGAGAAGTGAGCAGGGAGTGTGTGGTTGCTGTAGTTTCGAAGTAATTCACCATACGCACATGCGTGGTGGTGCTGGTGTTGTTGTTTTGATTGTCACCGTCGTTATGGCTATCATCGCCACCGACAGTGCCTTTTCCAAACTATGCTGAGAAATCCCCACGATTCCCTGTGGGTTTCTTTCAATGCTCAAGACGTCGCCCCATGACTCGCTGGAGGACTCGCTGAACATGGCGTAAAGGGGCGGGGTGCACTCTATATATCTGTGTAAAAGCAGCTTGGAAGAACGCGGGAGAAGCGCAGCAACAAGGACGACGCAAGTAAACAAATGAGAAGCGGGAATGAAAAACAGTTTCTCTATTCTTTTTTTTGTTTTTGGTTTAGTTGGCTTGTTGTTGTTGTTTTTGGTGTATGTGTTTTTTTTTTTTTTTGCTGGACGAGCGCAAAGGGGGGAAGGAGGGTTTAGGCTTGCTCATAAGTGTCTGTGCACTGAGCAGTTGCCATGGGAAACGCTCCACAGATATGTCTAGCTATCTATATGTATGTGTGGGGGAATGGCTCTGCACGTGTGACACTTTTTTTTATGTCTTGCTTTGTTTCTACGGCTGCTGGTGGCGTGAATGTCTTCTGCTACTGGGCGCCTGGTGTTTCGGTGGTCGCGTGGGCGTCACCTTGATGATGCTTCGGAGTGGCCACCTGTATATAAATACCATCATTTCTTTGCTTCGAGTGCGTATTTTTGTGTCTTTTTATTATTATTCCCCTCTCTCTCTCTCTCTCTCTACAGCTTTATATGTTGCACACACGCAGAGACGGACTCTTTCTGTCTTTTCCACAGACTCTTTTGGTCTTTTCTCCCTCTGGGCTTTTTTTTTT